AAAAAATATGTAACTAGTATTTTAATTATAATTACATTAATACTGCAATTATATTTTATCTTCCCACTACTAAATGGACTTTCTGTGTTTTAAGTCACTTATTATTCAAAGCGGATGGTTTACTACCCCGCACTATTCCTTTTAATAGACTTTTGTACACAAAGTTAAAGTCTCATAGAACAGAAAACAACATCGTTATTGTTGCAAATGTGTAGTTTATTATTAGCACATAGTTTTTGCATATGAAAGTTTGCAAAACAATTCAATGTACTTTTGCTGCTCCATTTATTTAACCCTTAACTAATTCATATGTATTACACAACAAGAAAAAGATATAATAATAAGCTATAATATGGTAATGTTATCAGAATAATAAAAGAATTGCCGAATAAAATTGCCACTTGACATGAAAATATCTGAGGAAAACGTGTTGCCTGATTTTTTCAATGTTTAAAATTATAATAAAAACATAATTTCGTGAACATACTTTTTTACCCTAAATTTCAGAACATATCCCATCAAAAAAGAAGAAAAACTCCAAAAAACATACTCAGCATTTTTTTAATAACGTTATCAACAAAGTAAGTTTCTCTCCTAAAGTACCTTGTTTCCGTAAGGTATGTCTATTGTTGGTCTAATTGAACTAACTCACATAGCGTAATTATTGCTGTCAATTAGTGTGCCAACAAGACGATTCGTATCGAGCTGGTTTCGCTATTCAAATTTGCTTTATCTATGCTAGGGGTATTTTGAATATTGCTTGGCGAACCGAATATTCTCATTATCAACTAAAGAAACATTCTTTATCATCTCTTTAAGCCGGAAAGTAATTGATTAGTTTGAGGACAGTAACAATATTTACAGCCACTAGACATGCAAGACAGTACCAAAAAGAACGTAAAAAACTTTTTTCTATGTGTGTCTAAAGACTAAGCCAAACGGACTTATGAGCACGGAGAGTACCCATAGAGTCCTTTTATGGGACAAAAAGACGCAGGTTTAAGAAAAATAAAAAGTGTTACTTTCAAACCATTTAAACTGTGCTTAATATACGCTTGAGAGGATTAAGCTCAACAGGCATTTTTTTGCTATTATAGCCAAGGCAAGCACACTGGGAAAGTGAAGTATGCATCGTCTAAACTTTTTCTAATTGCGTGGCACTTGCGTATTTTACTTGTTGGTAAACGTTTTATCCCATACCGCCTGTACATAGTCCTCACTCCAGCACAATGCCAATGCATATATACGCACATACTCTGCCAATACTTAAGTGAAATACTTCCGTTTACTATGACTCTTACTCCCACTTGCCACAGTACTTTCAACTAATCAAGGCCCAACTAAGCTTTGCTTATAGACTTTTGTCGTTATGCGATCTGTAAAGATGCCTACGCTGCTGCTTACGAGGGGGAATGAGTTACGTAGGATTTGCCTGCAAATAGATGCCTTTTTTATGGCAATTTATATTCCTTGTTGTCTTCGCTACAACAAGTAACAAGAAATTTTATTTGTCGTTAAATACTTTTTAATATGTTTCTTTTACTTTACTTATTCCTGGAAATCTATTCGATACAAAAGCTATCTATTTATAATCACTAAGCTGATTCGAATGCTTTATATATACGAATATGTATAATATATGGTTGTAAATGTATTATGTGTACATAAATAAATTTTCTACTTTTTTATTATAATTAATATTTGAATTACAGAGAAACCGTATTCTGTTTCTGATACTTCCAGTCAGGTTCAAAATCCCGACTATACCAATGATTACTCAATTTAAAAGGGTGAAGTAACAAAGTTTCCTAGAATATTGAAACTAATGTTAATCCATTGGTATAAATCATGCGTCATTTAAGTTTAAAGTTATTAACTTTAATAGCAGATTTGAATATAAAGTAATAAATAAGTACTAGAAGTACTGAAAAATATATGAAAGTCATAGGCGAAAACTCAACTGTAACAATCTATTTAACTGTGAGCAATTTATTATGAATTTATTTACTTTCAAAGCAGAATTAAAACAAATAAATATTAATTTTTATTTATATTATTTATTATAATACTTCAATAACTACATAACAAGATTTTATAAGCCTTTATTATTAATTAGCTATCATTTTATATTACCGTTATTTTACTTATCATGTATACTCATAATTTTATTTTAGCTAATACAAGAGCCCTAACATTATTTTTGTCATTCAATTAAAAATAACTAGAGTTATATTAAAGTATCCATTAATATACAAATAATATTTGTTCTATATATATATAATAATATATATAATATAAAAATTTTATTAATATTAAATTTAATTATCAAATCTAATAGGTATTAATGTATATTATTATTATATTCAATAATAACAATATAATACAATAATAAAATTATTATAAGCATTTCTTATAGTATTTTATTGAATTATTTAAGAAAACTACTTGTTTGTGCTGATAAATTTTCTATTTTAATATTATTATTCATTAAAATAATTATTAATATTATAATAAAAAAAGTATTTAGTAACAAAGGAGTACTTTGAGTTATATTTTTATCTTTTCAAATTTTAAATTTCATTTAAAAATAGCCAAAGGGGGATAAAGGTGATCGTGGACAAGATGGCAGAGATGGTTTACCAGGGCCCCCAGGCTTACCTGCTGCTGCTGGAGAAGGTGTACAATATATTCCAATGCCTGGACCGCCAGGACCACCCGGACCACAAGGCCAGCCAGGTAAATGAAATAATAAATAATTAAAAAATAACAACGTTTATTTATGTTAAATATTATTTATTAAATTATATAAAAATATTCACTTTAGGACTTTCAATTTCTGGACCAAAAGGTGAACCAGGCATGGATTCACGAAGTGGTTTCTACGGTGATGCTTCCTATTATGCTCGACCTGGTGAGAATGTTTTTTCAAGTTTAATAACTTATTATCTTGTATATGAGTAATTGTAACTGTAGCTTATACTCACCTGTACATTAATTACATAGCAAAAATTAAAACTATTATAGTTACTACAGTTTATATGTGCTGGCAAACTATTTACAGTGTTTTTTATTTTATTTAAAAACCACACTATTAACTTAAACATTCCAAATCATGTGTATTAAATACATATAATTAAAGAAAAAAAACTTCATCTAACCTACTTACTCATAATTAAGGTGGACGTTCTTCATTAGATGAAATCAAAGCATTGCGTGAACTGCAAGATTTGAGAGATCGACCTGATAGTACTTCGGGTAATAACTTTGTTAAAGCACCTAA